ACTAATTAATTAATTCTTTTGGTACGCAAATCTTACCCCACCCTACAACAAAGCTCTATAAAACTTTATTGCAACCACCTCTGTAATCAGATTCCACTTTGAACAAGAAAAATAACCTACATATTCCTTTAAATCTAGTCTTATGCTATAGTCTGACATTATACTTGAATTTTTTTCAGAAATCCATCAATAAGTATGCAAGTGAATAATTAATAATAATAGTATTATAATATCTCTTACACAGTTTATGTGCTTCACAATAACTCAGTGAGATTGGTAATACTGTCATTCCCATGTTATAGATTAAGAAACTAAGGCACAGAATGGTTATCTAATTTTCCCAAGATTCACACCTAGTGGTAAAGGATCTGAGACTAGAACTCAAGTATTAAGGCTACAGAGAAATGTCTTCTAACCAGAATATCACAGCCACCCAAACAAAGCCACTAAATGAAATATTTTTTTCTAATTTTCCTAATGCAGAGTTTCTCAGCTTGTAAGAATACTATAACCTTAAACTTCACCAAATTAAAATAGGAAACTGAATATTCCTATGCTCTTGTCACTTTGAGGTTTGAATTTGGGTAACAAATCAGGTAGGCTGTGACTATTTCCTTATGGACTCTATAAGGAAATGCCAGGAATGGCCCTCCACATAAATAATGACGCCACAACTATTGTTATATAGACCAAACATCTAGGCTTTCCTCGATATGGAAAATAAATCTCAGCATACTCAGAGCACATAACAAACATGTATTTTCTACAAACATTTAAAAAATTCTCTGCAACCGGTCTGCAATAACATGTCCTCATAATCCTATGTCAAGTCAGCGATGACTACATTTGCTTCCAAGTTCTCACAAAGAGCATATTTGGCAATTTTTCTGGAGTTACTCAGTTATTCTAATAAGCTAAGTTACTAGATCTCAGGCTATGTTCTCCATTTTAAAAAAACATGAAGCATTCTGTTGTTTCCGGGGGTTCTAGTACCTCCCCTCAAATTCTCTAAGAATCAAATTTCTCAAAAATCACAGACAGTGGCATTGGGATTTCAGCTTCAGGGTCTTCAGAAGTTAACCACTGAAAAAAATGATGTCTATTGTCATACTTCCATTCTGATACTAAGGAGATTCTTAGTCACCTAAACCAGTATTTAAAAAAGAATCGCCTTTTATTATATTAATTACAAAATATTTATATAAAATAACATAATAATATTTATATAAATAATACTTATATAAAATATATATATTAAATAGGAAATCCCTTTGAAATTTGGGGGCAGCTGGGAGAGCATTTGGATTTGCCACTCAAATATATTCAGCAATAGCAGGAACTACAGATAAAATGCATGGTTTTACTTAAACAGAGTGCCACATTCGATATTCAAAGCCCCTAAGCAGAAGGTGTACAGATTCCTAACAGACATAACATACTCAGATTATCTAATACATAACATGAATACATTTGACCTCTAATCTTAATTCCAATTAAAATTTAAATAAAGGTAAATACAGTGTGAATACTACTTTATTTTCCAAAGCTCTCACAGAAATGAAATGTTCTGTGAGATTTCTTAGGAACAGATTTTTCTTGTATAAGATTTTCGGGTGGTGTCATTTAATCATCTTACTTACCAAATCTCTAGCTGACAAAAGCCATGTACTAGTTGTAATTTCACATGCTCTTCTAAAAAAAAGCGAGTAAGGATCATTTTTTTCCAAGTACTTGTTTCAGTGTTCTCTGTTCCTCTAAGGATAGCTTTATTGTTTAATCTTTGGTTTTACAGGGACATTTTCAGATTTAATCTATAGTTTTCACATTGAAAAGCCTGATAAAAAGGAATTTTGCAACCAGCTCAGTCTTAAGATGTAAAGATTATTCGAAGTGCCAAACCTTTCAGTTTGAGGCTGCAAGGGGGGGAAGGATTTTTAAACTGAACTTAATGTCAAGGTAGCACATTGCTCACTCCCAGGGACTTCTGAGCTGCTTATGCGATGTCTTTTCAGAAGTTCAGGAGAAAGCAGGGGCAGTTGAGGAAGTCAAGCTGGGCAAGAAATCACTAGTATCTGAGCTCCTGTAGGCAAAGTCCTGATAAGGCTGGAGAGGAGAGAAGGCCCTTTGGTGTAAGGTCAATGGGTTAAATTTGACTGAGTGTTCAGAGCAGAGCTGGGGCACACATGGAGATTGAGAAGAAATGGACTGAAACAGATTTGGGAAGAAAAATTTAAAGAAAACAAAAGAGGAAATGACATGTGTCTGACAAGAGATTCTGGGCCAGGAAGGGTGTGGCATATGAGTAAAGTCAAGGTCAGGAAGGGACTCAGAGACAATGTCACTCTGGCTGGAGTGATTTTCTTACTTTTCAAATTTATGTTTCTCATTATTCACAATCCCTTCAAATATCAGGTGAACTTTTATCATCAAGTCTTGTAGTCCTAGCTCTTCCTCAGAATAATTCTCAGAATTCCAGAGCACACACATCCAGTCTCCAATGGCTTCACACAGATGCCCCTGGGTCTCTACTGGGTCATTATCTGTTAGTGCTTCCCTCAGATATCCATGAGTGTAGTTATCAAGCTAAAGAAGCCACCACTTCCAAGAACGTGAGCCTCATGGCAGCCTAACTTCAACCTACTAGAGTTTCCTTACTAATTTACATTTGCAGAAGGTTAAAAAGCACTATGGCTCCATGATAATCTCTTTATGCTCTAAATACCCTAGTGAAATTCTCTTTCTTAGCAGAAGTACCTATCTTCTATAAATCAATTATTCAGTTCCCAATGGCTATTCCTCTGGATCTGGCCTGCATGGAGAAGGGTACAAGGAACCGGAAAATGAACTATACCAGTGGGAGTACACAAAATAGTGATTCTTGCTATCACTGGCACTACAGTGTAGCAGGTACGGTGCCTGGGTTCAATTCCTGCCTCTGCCCCTTACTGCCTACAGGATTGGGGAAGTTATCGACCCTCTCTCAGCCTATGTCCTCATCTGTGGGATGGAGATAACAAATCTTCCTTCATAGGGTTATTGTGAGAAATAAGTCGATATAGGTAAATTGCTTGGCATGATATGCAGTAGTTAATCATGTCCAAAAACATTGTTTGAATCAGAATGGTGTCTTTAGAGACTGTGTTGGGATTCTAACAGTCCAATAAATCTCTCTCAAAGGCCACAGTTACTTAGAGGTAAACATTTTGCTTTGGAAAATTTAGGTGCTCTTTGGGATTTTTAATGCCAGAATCAGTCCACTAGAGTTGTACAGATCAGCCTCTTCTTCAGCAAAAAAGGAACCAGCAAGAACAAAGAGTCGCAGCTGTGGAAGAGCAGGGTATGGAAACGAGATTGGTGTCTCCCACTTTTTCTCATATTAGCAAGAAATGTTGGCCAAGTCCTCGCTGTACTTCAGAAGGCAATGTAAAAGTACTTCTTTGCAATTTATCAAATAAAGGGGGACACCTCACCTTCTGACCATCTTGCTTGGAGATTTAAAGTATCACAATGGAGTTTACAAAATAAGGAACAGCAGAGCAGCAAATAATGTGCTGGGGTATCAGATCTTTTCCTTAATTTACTGAGATTACTTAGTAGGGTAGCTTCAGGAAAATCTCAGCCCTTGAGATGATCCAACAGATTCCTTTGAGATACTTAACCCATCTTATCACACAGTAAAGAGCTTAACTGTGACCTTCAATAAATGTATTGACCATGTTAAGAAATAGCAATACTTTTTCTACAGATTCTGTGTCTAATTCTCTTATTCTTACTAAATTTGAAGGTAAAATAACTGAAAACTAGACTTTCATTCTTCAAGCAGAAGGCAAAGGTAAAATTAATTTGAAAATAATTAGTTGAAAGATTTTTCACGCCCACAAACTTCCTGAGTCAGGAAGCATTGGTATTACCCAAATGGTCAGGTTCAAGAGGAAACAATAGCTGACATGGACAGTAGCCACTGAGACAAAGGCAGAGAGCTTTCATTAACACAATTTGCAAGTGAGGAGCTATGGCCCTGTGGCATGAGAGGCAGAATTTTCTCGGAACAGATGGCATGACTTGAAAAATGCAGACCTGTATAACTTCTGAGATCTCCAAGTTTTTATCTCAGAATTCCAAGCCTCTGTTTCTTGAGAAAGGAGAATCAGAACTCTTAAACATCTCTGTGGAGAAAGCCACAGAGGGGTCACTGCTTGAGATGATTTGTGGTATAGGCAGTTTCTAGAAAAGAAACAGAATATCTCAAACTCACTCTTGGCTGGTAAGTACTGTTGAGACAAAAATTGTTTTCTGCCTTTTTTCCCCTCTCTAAATGAATCACTTTTCAATTCCATCTTTAGAGTCTTTGACTCTTAAATAGTGGGTTTTTAAGTCAATCGATTTTAGTTCATTCATAAAAGCAAGCCGGAAAGATGAAAGATATTCACTAAATCTTTCAAGAGGCAGTACCTGGGAGTTTGGATCCCAAATGCAATCTCTTCTAAAATTCATATTGAAAAAAAATGCCATTTAGAGTCTAGTTTAGCTTGGAAGAGTTCCTACAGAGGGTAAGGATGTCCATTTACCATTTTATTTTTTTTCAGTAATCCTTTTATTTCTTAGGAGAAAAAGTGGCAAATGGCAAAAACTTATTTCACATGTTCCAGTATCATTCCTGTTTGCCAGAGGAAGGCAGAGCAATCAGTGCATCTGGAAACCAAACCAGGAGGTGACATATGAGTTGTCCAAACATTTCTTTGGAAAGTAGAAACATAAGTCATAGGAAGAGTCATCCTGGAGTGCTCCAGTTGCTCATAGCAACCTGAGCTGCACAAGGCAACCACTTTGGCTTGGATTTCCAGGTTGCTTTCCATTGGGGAAGAATGCTCATACACATGGTAAATGAAGTTAATGCAGTAAAGCCGATATAAGCACTGATGTTTTATCTTCTGACAGCATATGAATGTGCAAGCATTAAGTTATAGGAGAAAAGGGGCTAATTTTAGATTTGTTCCTAGCCCTCTCCATGTGAATGGTGTCGCTGTGAGCCCAGCAATGAAGTTCACTGTGTTGTAGCAGACTGCGCAGTTCCTGAATGTGTCAACCCAGTCTATGAACCAGAACAATGTTGTCCTGTCTGCAAAAATGGTAAGACCATACTGCATTAGCTTTCAAAGAGGGGTTAGTGCAAAATACAAATATTTCACCACTGCCCATTCAATGCAAGAGCCCTCTCAGATCTGCCTGTGGTTCTTCAATGTGGGCATCACAAATTTATATTTTTATCCCACCTTAATATGAAAATGAACCAGCAATGGGTGCATCACAAAGCTTTCCATCTGGGGATTTAAAGCTCTCATAAGCTGACTTTGTTGTGATCCCTATTATTTATTTTTGATTTATAGGGAGGATATTGGAAAGAACACAGAACCACCTTTCTGTAATGACTTAATTTCACTCTTGTGGAGGCTATGAAGCAGTTCACCTCATTTCATAGTGCATAACCCAGGAGAGAGAGTAGGATAAATGCCAGGTATTTTGCTTTGGGCATAGAGAAAACTTTAGGTTTAAAGTTCAATTATCAAAGAAATATAAAATTCAATTATTGATGCACTTAAATTGAAGGAAAAAAGACTAGAGGATTCAGGGCTTCTATTCTAGGTTTTTATTACCCTGGAATCTTTCTCTCACAGGAATTAAACAGAGGAGAACTTGACTTATAAGATTCTGGGTTCCCTTTTGGCTTTTATAGAATGGAGAGGTTGAAATGCCTACAGTATGCTGATCAAAGTGATGCCAAAAAAAAAAAAAGTGATGCCATAGAGAAAACAATGCAGTGCCATAGACATAGACCCAAGACAGCATATCACAAGCTAGTATCATGCTCTTCCTACTGGTCATGTACCAAAAAATTAAGCTCCACTAGGTAACATTCCACAAATACTCCCTCCTATCATTCATATCTGCTTGGAAAAGTGGTTCGAACTTTTAATTAAGCTAAGGTCACTCTAATGCTGAATCCCTGTGCCTTTCCTTGAGTCAGCAGGTGCTCATCTTCCTTTATCACTCACATCTTTTTTTTTTTTGGTCCTGTATTTGCCATTATATTAATTCATCTGCTAATCTTCTTCATTATACAATTATAATTAGTAAAAAAAAGAGGTATTAGTTTATTTAAAGAAAAAACAGTAGCAACTAGAACTAGTTGTTTTTATAATAATTTTTGTATTTTAGTGTCTTCCAAAGGTCTTAGGAAGATCACTTATGACATTTTTGCAGGCACAGTTTTACTATTTCTGATCATATGAGCCCACTGAGTTGAATACTAAACTGCTAACCTGCCTTCTCTTTTTATTCTTATTCCTCTCATCCAACTGACCTGTGTCATAGTGACCATCTTTTCTGACTTAGAAGGTGGAAATAAATATCGTCCTGAAGTCCTAAACTATCTAACATATGTAAAGGTATACAATTTAAGACTTTATATTTTTAGAGGATTTTGAAGAAACTGGAAAAGTTACAGGGAAGAACAATAAGATGATTTAATGGTTGAAAAATAGGACCTATGAGGACAGACTCAAGGAGTTAGCATAATTTGTCCTGGAGAAGAGAAGGCTCAAGGGAGACCTAACTGTCATAAAGTATATGAATGGTTAGTCTAAAGTGGAAGAGGACCAGTTATTTTTCATTTTCTCCAAGGACAGAAGGAAGAAAAAATCAGCTACCTAATCAATCTTTAAAAATAGGATTGACAAGTCTTTGACTGAAGACTTTTTTTTTTCCAGAAGCAACTGTCTAAACAGGTCCTTGAGGATCCTCTCTTCCCCAGGTGTCCCTGATTGGCTTTTATTTCACATTTATGGTAAACAAAATTATGCTTATAGTTAAAAACCCTCATCTGGACATATTTAGAATACTCGTAGAATTAAAGCATACGAGACCATATATTTAAAACACAGGGTTTACACACGCACTACTACATCATCCTAGCTACCCCACACCAAAGCCTGTAATATATCCAGAGTTAATGTCTACATCAAATGTCAAATCATTCACTATCGACTAGTCACCTTTAATTTGATACCATCCAAGATTATTCTACTTCTCTCCAGGCGCCAGAGTGGAAACTTAACTTCAAATGAAACCTTTCTATAAAAACATCATATAATAATGAATGGGCTTTAATTGTTCAGTTAATTAATTAGTCATCCATTATATCCCTGAAGCACATGTTAAGAGAACAAGATAAGTTAGGTTTTCCAGAATTTAGTTCATGGCACACTACAGTTTCTGTTCCTTTTTGTCATTTTCAAGCAAACTTTTTTTTCTTTTTTTAATAAAGGAAATGAATCTGAATTAGACTTAGTAGAAAGACAAACTCTGATTATAACATCATGACATGTTATCTTTATCATTAAATGACACTAGTCACTTGTGCCCAAAAATTGAAGCATAATCATTGTCAAAGAAAAGCATATTAAGGATCACTGAAGAATCCTTATGACCACCAAAGATATTGGTACTTTCACGGAGAGAACAGACTGCGCCCCGTCTTGCTTGCTCTCTTCCTAAGCCTAGCCCAGAAAACAGAAACAGATGACCCATGTTTGGAAAAGCAGGGATGGGGCGGGGAAGGGAGGGGTAGATGTTTATTATGACAGAGTGCAACTAGACCAATTTCTTAAATTTCTAACACATGGTAAGTCTTTTTCGTTCTATACAACAAGATTAGTTTGCCCATTATCATGTAGACTCTTAAAGTATGCCACTAATTTCTTAGATTAAAAAAAAGATAAAAATCTACCCTATGGATTCAAGGTGCAGGCAATCAGTCTTACTTTGTAAACAGTCCTATAACATTTTCTACATTTCTTAAGTCTTCATAAATGTTGAACATTTTTAGTTTGCATAAATGCTGATTATCTTGGCTGCCGAATACTTTGCTTCTGCATACTAACATCAATTTCTCTGCCTTCCTGAATTATAACTTGCCAAGAGCAAGAGGCTTTAAAGATATAAAACAAAAGTTTAAAATGATAGAATCTACCGCACCTGACCTTAAAACTCAATATTCAGCTAATATAAAAATCTTCATTCTCAGCTTAAGCAAGAGCAAACAAAACAAGAAACATTCAGGGAAAATGTGAGTGATTGGGCACACACACAGTAAGAGGAGAAAGAGGAAGGTACTTTTTTTTTATTTGGCTAGGACTGGGGAGAATTGACAAAGGAATTTATTGGGTTGGGGTTTTTTTTTTTTTTTTGATTGTTTGTTTTTGGTTTTTAAAATACTATTAAGCTGGGATCCCTGGGTGGCACAGCGGTTTGGCGCCTGCCTTCAGCCCAGGGCATGATCCTGGAGACGCAGGATCGAATCCCACATCGTGCTCCCGGTACATGGAGCCTGCTTCTCCCTCTGCCTATGTCTCTGCCTCTCTCTCTCTCTCTCTCTCTCTCTCTGATGACTATCATAAATAAATAAAAATTAAAAAAAAGAAGATAGTCTAAAAAAAGTACTATTAAGCCTTTGCTTCTCCTTCCTCTATATCTCTACAATAGCTAGCAATTCAAATGCCTTCTTGAAAAATACATTTCCTGACTGCGCATCTTTCCCCAAGATTGTTACTTTGCCCTTTCAGCCCAAGTCCTTTCTATGTGAATGAATGAATATTCTTTATGGTATTCTATCTTTATATTTTAAAAAAAGGAAAGTAGCACAGCATAGAAAACAGTCTAGGTTGGAGCATCATATAAAAATTTTGAATATTAGGTAAATGATTATACATTTTTTTAAATGATTATACATTTTATTAATATTTGTTCATTAGAGCATCCAAATAACTAGCTATATTTTTTTTACCTTTGATCAGCCAATATGTCAGCGAGTTCCATATTTTCAGTGGCATATATAGTCAGTCAGTATTAATGGTTCTGAAGGAAGAGTCTCACTTTGCCAAAAATTGGAAAAGACAGGAAGCACCCACAAAATCCTCCAAACACACTGAGTGAGAAGTTTCCATATCCTTTATAGTTAAACTGCAGGCACTATTCAAATGTTTAATTCCTTTTCCCTTATTCTCTCCTGGTTTAGTAGTGATACAAATAAGGCAAGAAATAGACTAGCCAAAAGAGAAAAATGAAAACAAAGACAATGGATGGGCAGTGAACAAATAAGAAAGGGGATGTTAGAAGCATCCACTTACTTTAGAAGTGCCTGGGAGCAAACATATGACACATATAATTGTTAGTATCTCTAATATACAATGAGTCCCGTTTAATAAATGAGAGAAAAACAACTCTATAGGGAAGGGAATGGGTGAAGAGTATATAAAGGAAATTCACAGAAAACCAAATGTCTAATACATATATGAAAATATGCTTACCCTCACAAGGGACCAGGGACATAAAAATTTTTAAAACGAGATACTAATATTGTACTCATAATAACTTGGAATTGATAATACCCCAAATCAGCAAAGATATCTTAAAAAGGGGTGAGAAAATATTGAAACAACGTTTAAGAAGGGTACTTTCCATCAAAAGTTTCATGTAACTTGAAATCAGCAATCCCTCCTCTTGCACTTTCCCCCACATTCATATACTACATTTTTACTACATTTTTACTACAATTTAAGAGCAAAACGGTGGGAGAAAACAGTGTTCCTTCAATGGACTAATGAAATATATTGCAACCTTTAAAAAGACCTTAGTGGCACTTTTTTTTTTTTTACTGCTGTGTAAAATAAGCAAGGAGTACACACTATGTATTCTTTTATGTATAACATACTAACGTAGGATCCCTGGGTGGCGCAGCGGTTTGGCGCCTGCCTTTGGCCCAGGGCGCGATCCTGGAGACCCGGGATTGAATCCCACGTCGGGCTCCCGGTGCATGGAGCCTGCTTGTGTCTCTGTCTCTCTCTCTGTGACTATCATAAATAAATAAAAAAAACTTTAAAAAAAAACATACTAACATATGTTCTATATAACACATACATTTTAAGTGATATATACTTAAAACATTTTAACTATTGTACAATTTTAAGTAGACATTAAAATTTGTATGTATGTATATAGGAAAAGAGCTAGGTAGATACACAATAGAACACTAGTAATGATCCAATGGTTGCTTTTAGAGAAAAGTGAAAAGG